CTAATTTGTATGCGGACTACTGGTTCCTCGCCTCTCGGGCAGATGCACTTAGACTTTGAAGGAAGCACCCAATTAGTCGACTCTTACGACATGCTTTTGGGTAAGCAGTGGGTCTATTCTTGTTTTCCCTATAACAGGACCCAGGAACCCACACGGGGAGCTTGAATGGTTGAGCAATAAGTTCTTCAGTAAATAAGCCAGATCACTTGGCAGATTATTGTTATAATGATCATAACTTTTCTGTTTCTTTCTGTCGTTTCTTCTTCTTCAGCATTCCGAGCCCTTGAGGTTCATTGCTGCAGCTATCACCCGCCTCCATTCATCTCTCTGGTTGGCCATCTCTTTTCAATTGGTAACACCAAGTATTTGTAGGTGTGTCTGGATATTAGTTCTCCATCGTCTTCTTGGTCTCCCTCGTAGTCTGTCGTTTGAGCAGAAAAAAAAATGAGTAGCATACTTGAATACTGACAGACACTCTATAAATATTGGGAGGGGAGGGGGGGGGGCGAAAATTCATGGTATGTCATAACAGGAAACCGGACAGGGGGTTATGGACGGTTATTGAGTGCATGGTGACGATTTCAAGAATAGCTCGTAGCCTAAATGTCAGCTACAAAAGTGACCAATATATCACATACAAGGGTTCTGCGCACGCGCGAATTAATAGTTTGGTTTATTAGTAATTGCGAATCTTTTATTTAGTTAGTTCCGAGTATTTACAACAACAAAATTATTGTTAGGGTTCTTGATGACAATTTTTTGTCCCCACTATCAAACAACCTCATACAAAATAATAAGGTGAAACCAAGTTTTATGATTTCTAAAGCTATGTTTGTTTAGTGTTAATAATGATCTGATTTTCTGCCGCCCATTTTAATTAGAATGCCAAACTTCCCCTTGAAGCATTATTATCAACAAATCACTTCATTGCTTTTGATGCGGTTTTTTTTTATATTTTTTTTATTAACAATCAATATGTAGCAACAACACAGTAATAATTGATCAGCTCTCGAGAAAAATCTGCTCCTTAACTATATAACCATCAAAACAATCAACGACAACTAATTAAACATCAAAACAATCAACCATCAAAACAATCAACCATCAAAACAATCAACTACAACCAATCAACTGCAACCAATCAACCATCAAAGAATCAACCAACTTACCAATGAAATAACCAATAAATTCAAACAACAATCAATAAATCAGTCAGCTAAACGATCATTCAACAAATCCGTCCATTCACAGATAGCCAGCCAGCCTGTTTATAAAACATTCCTTTAAATAAAACTTTCTGTTAATTGATTAATTTATAAAACATTGTGCGATATCTCCACAGTGAAGATTGACTGCCTTGGTCCAGGGCTACCAATAATGGAATTTTCCCCCCAGATCTGGGTTTTTATATGATGCCTTTTCAAAATATATCCTTGTATAAAAGTGGCAAATGTTTCTTTTATGTAACTATAAATTGTGTGCATTAAAAAAAAATGTATGTATTGCTTGGGTGTTCGGCTTAGTTCTTTTTTTTTTCTCCAAAAAATCCTGTTGGCAGCCCTGCCATGGTCCTTTTTTTTTCTTCAAAATTTTCGCCTTTGCCAGTTGACTGGCGATTGACTAAAAGAAGTTTCCCAACAAGATCCAGCCGGTTTTAAACAACAGGGCCGCTCAAAACCCGGGTCTTCGTGTGTTTGTGGTCTGGGCCTGACAGACTGGCTCAAAGCTTTAGGGCTAGCGTGTGGATTATCTGTGTTTTATTTTACATTTCTACGTAAGATGGTTTGTATTCTATTTATCATATATCGAAGGGCTATTCAACTGGCGGCACGCGGGGCAAAATTTGACCCGCGGACGCCTAACAAATGGCCCACAGATCACTGCCAGTCATTTTGTATTAATAATCTTTCTATGCTGGTACATGGGCCATCGCTGGACGACGATTTCCATTTCCAGCATGCTGTCCCCTGAATAATCTTAGTTGAATAGCCCTGGTAAATAACATAGTAAATCTTTGTATGATTAAGGTTTTTTCGTCTGAGTAGTTACAATCTAAACCGCACTTACTAACTGAGGCAGGTCGTACAGTATTCTTGTGGATTCATTGTACATGCATAGGTAAGTGAAAATATCAGAGACAAAGACAGAGACCAATACAGACATAAAGATAGACAGAGGGATGAACAGATAGACAGACAGACGGATAGATAGATAGATAGATAGATAGACAGACAGACAACCTGGCAGACAGACAGACAGAAAGGCAGACAGACAGACAGACAGACAGACAGACAGACAGACAGACAGACAGACAGACAGACAGACAGACAGACAGACAGACAGACAGACAGATAGATAGATAGATAGATAGATAGATAGATAGATAGATAGATAGATAGATAGATAGATAGATAGATAGATAGATAGATAGATAGATAGATAGATAGATAGATAGATAGATAGATAGATAGATAGATAGACAACCTGGCAGACAGACAGACAGGCAGACAAGTGTTTAATTACTTTTAGATTTATACAATTTATTCTAATGTTGTATCAGCTTAATCTTTTATTGTACAATCGGAATGTAGTGGATATTGAGGCGAGAGGTGAAGTTGGTAGCGTGTGGTTTTGGAATGTGTGTCAACAACCCCCCCCCCCCCCCCCCCCCCCCCCTCAGTGAACATTTTCCGTGTTTGTTTCCATTCTCACACTACGACTGGTTTTGATTCCTCCATATCCACACAGGTCTGCCGACCTAATTTCACGTCCTGTCCGCGTTCCTGCTATATAGGTCAGTATCTAATCTAGGCCAAGCTGTGGTTGCCCTACAAAATCTGGGCTTTTTAGTTTCTGTGTGGGTTTTCTTGGTTTTTATTTTGCTGTTGTGGAAAATCATATGGTTTGAGTCTTACTGGTTAAAAAAAAAAAAAAATAATAATAAATAATATAACGAGAATACTGTGTATATGCATCTCTAAAATAGTTGTACTGAAAAATAATATTTAGGCTAAACAATCTGGAAAGTGTCTGTTTACGACGTTTTATGTTATGTTGTGTTATCAGAATCGATTGTTATTCGACATTTGCTTCGTTAATATAAATTTCTGTAACCTATAGTGCCATTTCAATGGTATGAAATTAATTCTATACGTATTGCATACTTGTGCGTTTCAAGCTGTACGACAGACATGGCCAATAAGACACCTTTTTGGGGGGTGCCTAGTTGACCATGTTCTTAGTGCACTTGTATTCATGGCGAGGCGCAGACGCCGTCTGGAGGTGACAGGTTCAATTCCTGGCACGGTAACTAAAGCTTTCGATTTTTATGTAGTATAGTCTGTTCTTCTATCTTTCTACTTCTTTCTATATTAACAAAGCAAATGTCGAATAACAATCACAGCAACAATTTACGAACACAGTAGACCTTATTGCCTTACTAGAATACACAAACATTTAAGAAAGGTATTTGATTGGTAGCTTCCGGCGTGTATACGTCAATTCTATAAATAAACAGAGAGGGGAACCATTTGAGGCAGTTAAATATTATGAATTAATCAAGTAACAGAAAGTATTGTGAACGGCATTCATAGAAAGAAGTAGAAACATAGAAGAACACAGACTGACAGTCAGACAGATAGATAGATAGACAGACAGACAGACAAACTGGCAGACAGACAGACAGACAGACAGACAGACAGACAGACAGACAGACAGACAGACAGACAGACAGACAGACAGACAGACAGACAGACAAACAGATAGACAGACAGATAGACAGACAGATAAGATAGACAGACAGATAGACAGACAGATAAGATAGACAGATAAGATAGATAAGATAAGATAGATAAGATAGACAAGATAAGATAGACAAGATAAGATAGACAAGATAAGATAGATAAGATAAGATAGATAAGATAAGATAAGATAGATAAGATAGATAAGATAAGATAGATAAGATAAGATAGATAAGATAAGATAGATAAGATAGATAAGATAAGATAGATAAGATAAGATAGATAAGATAAGATAGATAAGATAAGATAGATAAGATAGATAAGATAAGATAGATAAGATAAGATAGATAAGATAAGATAGATAAAGATAGATAGATAAGATAGATAAGATAGATAAGATAGATAGATAGATAGATAGATAGATGGATAGATAGATAGATAGATAGATAGATAGATAGATAGATAGATAGATAGATAGATAGATAGATAGATAGATAGATAGATAGATAGATAGATAGATAGATAGATAGATAGATAGATAGATAGATAGATAGATAGATAGATAGATAGATAGATAGATAGATAGATAGATAGATAGATAGATAGATAGATAGATAGATAGATAGATAGATAGATAGATAGATAGATAGATAGATAGATAGATAGATAGATAGATAGATAGATAGATAGATAGATAAGATAGATAAAGATAGATAAAGATAGATAAAGATAGATAGATAAGATAGATAAAGATAGATAGATAAGATAGATAAAGATAGATAGATAGATAAGATAGATAGATAGATAATAAGATAGATAGATAGATCCATTAATCCATCCATCCATATATATATATTTCTCTGTTATCTTTCTTGAAGCCACTTATGTTTGTGAGTCTGAGACAATACATTTGTCATCTCACAAACTGTTAAGTACGGGAGCTAGTTGCCTCGGAGGCACTTAGGGACAATAACCAACGATACGGCAGCGGTGGAGACAAAGATTAAGTGAAAGATAGGATGTTAAATATACAGTTGTAGTTTTTTTTTAAGGGAGAATAAGATTTTTTTTTTTCACTATTCCGGGTGAAACTGGGCAGTTAAACTTATTATGTATGTATGATATTTACTCTTTTGTAAGACGCTGTCGGCAGGGTGCTATCCGTTCTACGGAGAGAGATCAAGCCATATGGGACGAAACCCGGTGCAATGAAATCGGTCCTCTTTAGCTTCCAATACTATGTTTTTACAACAGGTTGTGATGGCTCTACATCAGGGACCCAGCATTCTCGTTCTGGCTGGTTTAGTGTCTTTGTTAACCGGCACAGTTCTGCACATCGTTGGTCAGTCCACTTCAGAGTGGTTTGTGGTACAGTCTGCAAGCAGCGCAGTTGCAGATCTCCGGAAGGATTCAACGATTCGAAGCAGATTAACCATTGGTCTCTGGAAAGGCTGTTACTCTGTGGAGTGTTTTGCAGTAACTGGGATGACTGGTAATTATGTTGTAATTTTATTGCTTATATCCGGTTGCTGGGAAAAAACAGAGGGGAAGAGAGGCAGGAGAATACTAGGATGAAGGGTGATTATTAGTTTTGCATTGTGGCATGAAAGAACATCTGGGTCAGAAATTATTGACAGTCAGGGGTCACAAAGATGTTGTCACATAACGCTGGTGTCACGTGTCTTTTTATGGTTTCCACTAATGAACCAAAAGACACTATGAAGTAGTTTAAGTGTTGAGATGTTGGCTCGCAGTGGTCTGCGCTGTATCCCGCAGCTCCCAAGAACATGCAGCATACTTCAGGGGTGAAACGACTCAAATTATGGCACTACGGAATTCATTAACATCCCAACGCAACTTAGACTGACTTCCCCACTACTTTTAAGCTCCCAGACTAGATAGTAATTCTATGCTAGTCAAATTACCACCTGTAACATAAACTATACAATATCGCATACATTCCAGACAACTTAAGAACTGTGAAGGATGGATACTAACCACATAATGTAAAATAATAAAATATCATTTAATCACTGCAAAACAAATATTAAAAAGTAAAGGAATGAAATCAGCAAGACAAAAGAAAACCAGCTAGGGAAGCAAAGAATTCTCTACTCGAGATGGACTCTTGGTTTGTCTCTAGCAGCAGCATGTATCATCATTGCCACACTGTGGAATTTTGGACTTAGGTAACTGGCACTGAGTGTTAGGGTTGACTGCATTTGCTGGTGACTTATCTGTCCAAGCTGTCCTGTTCATCTGAAGTGCTGGTATTTCTTACAGGGGGCCTTAAACAGGTACAAAGTCTTGTGAATTTAGTAATAAAACAAGGCACTGGAGTTGGTAAAAACCTTGAAAATATATGTCATATACCACTATGTCTGGTAGTCTTAGTTTCAGCTTCATAGCAAACGGGTCGCCCCATCTTTGCTCCGCTCCTGTGCCAGCGAAAAACACTCAGAATGTCTATCACAGTCCCTTGTGGAAAAATTGACAGACTGCTGTCTCAGCATATCTAGCATACACTCGCATTAAAGCATATGGTAGCCATCCGAAGTGCTAACACAAACAGTCCAACATTAGAAATGCAGTTCATCATTGATAATAGCAGAACTTGTCACCAACAGATCAGCAGTTGCCCGCGCGATCAATTTTAATACGGGCCCCGCCAGCATTGCACGACAGGCATCGCGCCATTTTCTGAATCTACAATTCACACCACGTTGGTTACAGTCGAAAAAAGACATTCCAAATGCAATCCGCAGCTCACAGGGTCACGCCATGCATTCAACTCAGAAGCTGGGCGACGAAACTATATCCAGTCTACAAATGGAGCAAAAATACTTCGGCCACCGTCCGGCAGAAGCAAAAAATTTGCCTCTGCTCCGAACAGCGCCGCTGTCTAGCGTCCATTTTAACCGGAAGAACTATATACCACTATATAGTGTTGATGTCATAACTGGTATGCTCACGTTATAAAGTTCCGTTTTATCTTTTAATTGGTATAAACTAAACTTTATGCCAATCTCTGGTCGTGGCAGATGTTGGCAGCATGACCACATAAAAAGCTCCTGGCGTGAGGAAACAAGCTGATGATGATCATGCAGGCACAATTTACAGTTGTCCTCTCATGTAACACTTGACAATGATGCATGAACATAAGTGAGGTGTTCATTGGGGATCCCGCATACTGCATCATGTGTATAGGTTATACTGGATGTGTTTTAGGATACTGATCGTTGACCAGGCCTCCAGATATTAGTAACATCCTGTGACAAAGAGGGAAAATAGAGTTAGCGATCACCAAACACCATACGATGTATGTCACCCATCCATCTTTCCACACTATTTCAGCTCAGATGTCTGTGCTAGGCGTTTATAAACCGATTAGGTCTGTGACAACCCCAGACAAAACGGTTATAAATTAAGATGTAAACTACAATATATGGGCTGGTCTCAAAATAACTCTTGAATAAATTCATAGATGTTGACTGGTCCTCGTATGGTTAAAGCATGGGTTTGAAAGGGACAAAAATATAAGAAAAAAAAAGGTGACCAACATGTCGGCTGAGGTCTCCTAGATGACTGGTAAGTTATTTTGTCTGTATTTAAAATGGAATCAGCGCTCTGTACAGTGATCGCCATTAAAAAGTAGATTGGAAGTAGCTATGACGTCATATGACTT